ATAATCAGAATAGGTTTTTGGGGCCCATTATGCTATAATTATAGTAAGGAACCCCCCCCCCCAAAAAAAAAAAAATAGTATAGGTAATTGTTTAGGCCACTACAGTAGATCGATTGTTCGCTGGAAGCCTCGAATGCCCCGAGCCACCTGGAAAGCTCCAGGCCCTAGGTAGGGTGTGAGGGCCGGCTTAGGGTTTAGGGTTTAGGGTTTAGGGTTTAGGGAAGAAGATTTATCTTAGAGTGTAATGTAGGGACCTTAATAATTAGAATAGGGTCTTGGGATATAGTATACTATAACGATAATAACGAATAACGAACCCCCAAAATAGTTTAGGCCCCTGCATTACGGTTTAGTCTTACTTCGAGGTTTAAAGTTACCAAGTCACGCTGTAAACACGCAATCCAGACCCGGCGAGCCGTCGGTGGGCGCCTATGAGACGGCACAGCCACTGACCACCAGCAAGAACCCCCCGGCATAGGGTTTAGGGTTTAGGGTTTATAGGGTTTAGGGTTTAGGGTTTAGGGTTACGGGTTTAGGGTTTATAGGGTTTAGGGTTTAGGGTTACGGGTTTAGGGTTTAGGGTTTATAGGGTTTAGGGTTTAGGGCTACGGGTTTAGGGTTTATAGGGTTTAGGGTGTAGAGGCTTCGGGTTTAGGGTTACGGGTTTAGGGTTTGGGCATCAGCGGCACCAAGGCATCCTCCAGATCCATCGAACCACCTGGCAAGATTTGGCTGTGGCTCAAGCTCCAGCGACCTTACGACGCGGCACCCCGATCTAGGAAGCTCTGCATGTGCCCTGCGGTGGCCGCCTAGGTTGGAGGTCGGTCGGTTGATGCTGAGCATGCTTTGCTGCCACAGGAAGAGTCGCCCTAAAGGCGGCTTCTGAGCACCCAGCCCCCAGTGCGGGACACGCCTATCGCATCTTCGTGGAGTCCCTATCTAGCAAATGGTTCCCCGCGATCCATGTAATCAGCTCCGTCATCTGCTCGTTCTCGAAATTTTGGAGAACGAACAAATGTAGGAGCTGATTACATGCATCTTCTCAAGTTCCTGATGGTCGGCGATGAGGCAGCAGGAAAGGCTTGCCTTCAGTTGCAGTTCACCGAGAAAAAGTATAGGGCGGAGCACCAGGTCACTGTGGGGGTGGAGTTTGGCTCCCGAATCCTCGATGTACTGGGGAAGGCAACCGAGCTGCAGTGTTGGGACTGCGCTGGCGCAGATCGCTTCCGCAGCACTATCAGAAGCTACTCCCGTGGTGCTGATGGCGCACTTCTGGTCTACGATGTCACTCGGCGAGACAGTTTCGAGCACTTGCTGGAATGGCTCAAAGAGATCCGGGGGTACGCAGGTACTGACATCGCCAGTACCGTAGTCGGCAATACGGCCGACACGGACAAGGAACGTCAAATGAGCTTTGAGGAACGCAGCAGATTTGCAACTGACCACGACCTCGGCTTTCTGGAGGCGTCCGCAGTCACAGGCCGACACGTGGACGATGCCGTTCTTGTGACAGCTCGGCAGGCCCTGACAAGGAGGATCGTTGCGGACCAATGCAGGCCGACTCGGGGCGAGTTGTCTGCAGACGTCGGACATTTTGGTACAAATGACGATTGTGTAGAAACCACAAAATCTAATTCACCGGAGCTTGCATTTGCTTGGGACTTCACCGGGTTTGGCTGCAGATTATTTCAATGTTCGGCTTAAGGTCTGGTACCGGTGGTCTGCGTGTCAGTTCAAGACAACGCCCGAAGCTCTGGCGAATCCGAGTTCGGTCTGACAGAGGCGATGCATTCTGAGTCCTAGCAGTCAGCAGCGCCTGGATGCCGTTGACTCGAAATTCTGTGCCAATTGCTGCAACAGCCTCAAACCGAGTGCGAGTGCCCTTCGCGCAAGAAAATGTTGCATGCTGCGGGGCTTCTGCCAAGAGTTGCCTTGATGCGCATCCACACCATCGCGATTTCTGCTACGAATCCTTCTCCCAAAGGCCTGACCCCGTTTAGGGGTGTCCTCTTGTTGCTCCCCTATTTTCTCACCCCCGCAGCTCCGAACAGGACCCGGTGCTCAGAGTGCCCTCCGTGCTCTGGCACGCTCCGGGATGAAGATCGGTCGCATCGAGGAGCCGCCTCTGATAACAGATTGAACCAGCGGCGGGGTTCTATCTGAATCCACAGCGCGGCTTTACCGTCTTGGTCGGGGTTTACACAGTTTGTATCTTGCGGTTGGGGCTTCATTGAGCTAAAGTCTAGTTGCTTGTCGGGGAAATAGGGTTTCCGGTTTTAAATGTTTGGGGTGTCTTCTGCGAATCTTTGCACTTCTAGGACTTCCCGTTTACGTTGTCCTAGCATGAGAGTCTTGGATTTCTCCGTTTAGACTGCGTCTGGCTGCGTCTGGGTGAATCCGTGTGGAGACAGGAAGGTTTGGTTAGCACGAAAAACCACAGCCAGTTCTTGGCCAAGGTACTTTGCATAGGTTTCTGTTTCGTCAGTCGGGTGTTGCAGTAAGTAAGGTGGTGTTTTCAGAGGCCGAAAAGGGCGGGCATCATGCAACTACTTGCGGCTTCGGGAAAAAGTGAGGGGAGGAGAGGGGGTGGGGGAAACAGGTGATCCTTACAAGGCGTGTCATGCAGGGCTTCAAGTTTCTGTGACCGGTGGTTGGGACCGGAAGCCACACACAGGCTGCTGGAGTTGAACTAAATGTCCTGTTTCTCCCTCCCTTGCCTTCAGTGCCCGTCTAATGGCTACGCGCGAAAGTTGAAAGGTTTGCAAAGTTTGGAGCAGCCCGAAACCCTAAACCCTAAATCGCAGTCAGAGCCCATGTGAAGTATCCTCTAAAGCCCGAGCTCTGAGCTTTCAATCCAATTCAATAGCCCTCAGGCCTAAGCCGCCTGAACCCTAAGCCCTTTTTGGGGTTTAGGGCTTAAGCCCTAAGCTGTACCCCCGAAGCCATGGAGGCCCTTTTGAGTTCCCCTCGCACTCAAGGGATGCTCGGAGGGATCGCTAAACCCGCTAAACCTCTAAATTCCGAAGCCCCGTGCTCTAAACTCTACACCAGGGTTTAGGGTCTAGGGTTTAGGGTAAACTCTACACCCCGGAATCCCAAGTCCCAAGCTGCAACAGCTCCTCGCAGGACGTGACTCCCATCCCCACCGACTGCACTCGCCGCAAGTGCGGCCGTCGTGGACGCCGTCTGTAAGCTGTGACTTGGTGTGATATCCTTAGCACTGCCTAAATGCCAAATCTTCAAGCCACCTGAATAAAGGAAGAATCTGCGTCCTGAGGGTTCCTTCATATGTCTGTGGTATGCTCCCTAAACAATGAGGCCCGACAGCCCTAAGCACATCGCGAGAGCTGCCTCGAGGTGAGTGGAAGACGAAAACACGGAAGAAGGATAGACGTGCTGCTTGTTCAGATCCCAAAAAGCAGGCGTGCGATGGATGCTCGGTTGTCAGAGCTTCACAGTGGCCAGCGGGCTTTTATAGGGCGATTTGAAGCTCCTTTGTAGGGCTCTTCACAGTGGCTTGTGGGGATTATTCGGGGATTATATATCGCTTTTAGAGCTCCTTTGTAGAGCTCTGAAAGAGCTTTTGCAGGGCTCTCGTAGGATTTGGGCTTGGCATTTTAAGTTCGCGGTGCGTCTTCGCGTTGCGAAGCTCAGGGGCTTGGCTATTTCAGGTTTCCTAAGCACCAAAACAGGAAGCCAAAACTCCAAAGCCTGTAGCCTGAATCCTAAACCCAAAGCCTTAGCCCAAAGCCCTAAAGCCCTAAACCCTAAGCCCTACTAGCCCTACTAGCCCTAATAGCCCTAATAGCCCTAATAGCCCTAATAGCCCTAATAACACTAATAGCCCTAATAGCCCCAATAGCCCTGAATCCCAAAAGCCCGAAACCCCTAATCCCTAACAGCCCTAAAACGAAATCCCGGAAACCTCATGGGCCTCAGTGAGCTAAGGGGTCCCTACGACCAGTGCGACTCGGTTTGAGATGTAGGGAAGCAAGTTTAGGTTTCGAGTCTGGGTCGAAGGGTTTGGGGTTTGGGGTTTGGGGTTTTGGATTTGGGGTTTAGGGTTTAGGGGTTTACGGTTTTGGGTTTAGGGGTTCAGGACCCTCAACCCTAAACCCCCCGAAAGCCCTGTGTTGGAACTATATGTTCTTTTTTCGTTAAGCAGACAGGTTGGCTTTAGTTTTAAGCTTCGGTTTTCGCGTTTCGCCTTCCAAAGCGGAAAGCCATCATCCACACCCCGAGCTGCATAACTTAGGAAACCCCAAGGTAATACCACAAATCCGGCACCCCGACATTCTGCCATCCAACTTTGCTGCCCTGCGAACTTGCCCGTTCGGCTCATCGGCTCAAGCCCTCTATGCAGCCCTGAAGGGGTTTAGGGTTTAGGTTCATCACCACCTGCTGCATGCAGTATCCAGCACTTCGGTAGTGTTCACGTACTACTGTTTTTCCTTGATTTAAATCGCACTGTGCCCCACTTTGGCGATGGCCTTCTGTCCTTGCGGTTTCAGGTCGACCAAGGGGTCTGAACAGTTGGTCCGAATATCCCTCGCGACAGTCCCTACATAGTTAGACCTCAATAATACCNNCCCCCCCCCCCCCCCCCCAAATCCCCAATAATACTCCCCCAATCCTCCCCCAATCCTTATTCACCCTAAACCGCCCTAAACCATATATCCGGGGTGAATATTAGGGTTGCCTCCCCATGGCACGGATGCTTCTTCGAGCCCACTACGTCCGGCGCCCCGTTGTCCGACTCTGCTTTTCGGGGCTTCTGTGTTCAGGGGTTAACGGTTTAGGGTTTTGAGTTTAGGGTTTAGGGTTTAGGGGTTCGGATTCTGAGCTCAGGATTTTAGCGTTTAGGGTTCTGAGTTTAGGGTTTAGGGTCCTAAGTTTAGGGTTTAGGGGCTTAGGGTTTTCGCAGCCCTGTGAAAAAATGGAGGTTGTATGGGCTGCCTGATCAGGGGTTTATGGAGTCTTGCAGGCTCCATGCACCCTTATAAGGTCCTAAACCCTAAACCCTAAACCCTAAACCCTAAACCCTAAACCCTAAACCCTAAACCGTGTAGGTGTCTTATCGGATGTTTGCGAACCGCTTGGTCTTTTTATGTCTTTGGTTTATAATAGGGTCTTGTGTTGTTCTCTGCCGACGTCCTTTACATGACTCGAACGCTGCAAGGAAAGGAGGAGTTTCAGAAAATGGTCGGCCCCAGATCCTTCTTATGAGGACGCCTGAACAAAGCACCCCCAAAATTTTGAGAACCCCTCCAAGTCACTTTACGTCAAGGTGTCTCCAATGGGCTTATGCTAGGGCACACGGAGCATTGATTGAATCGTGGAAAAGAGCTTCTTGAATATGAAAACCTTCTATCGGAAGCAGACATTTGCAAAAATAAGTAGGGGCTTATATCATGTTCTACAAAGACGGGCGGAGGCCTTAGGTGCGGTCTTCGGGTTTAGGGCCTGAGGTCTTCGGGCTCGAGGTAAAGGCTTGAGGGTTTAGGATTTGGGGTTCAGGATTTAGAATTTAGGGTTCAAGGTTTGGTAACGACGGCCTTTTGATGCGAACACGGCTGAAGGATTGGGCGTATTGGCTGTGGCTCAAGCGCCAGCGATGTCAGGAAGCGACACCTCAATCTACGAATCCCGTCACGCGCCCTGGCGTGATCGCGAGGCTTTATGCTGAACTCGCTTTGTTGCTACAGGAACCCAAGCCCAAAGTGGCTTCTAGGCACCCAGCCCTCTGCAGAGGACGCACCAGCGCCATTCGCCTGGAGTCCCTATCTATCTAGCGGTTCTCCGCTATCTCGACAAGGAGCAAGCACTCGCGGTGAGGTACGTTTACCTCAGAGCCTGGAGTCTTGGATGCCGGACTACCCGCAGCTTTTCAAGTTCATGCTCGTCGGCGATGAGGCAGCAGGAAAGACTTGCCTCTTGCTCCGATTCACCGACAAGAAGTATCGCACGAAGCACCGCACCATAGGGGTGGACTTTGGTTCCCGCAACGTCGATGTACAGGGGGAAGCTATCCGTCTTCAGTGTTGGGACTGCACCGGCGCAGATCGCTTCCGCAGTATCATCAGAACCTACTACCGTGGTGCTGCTGGTGCGCTTCTGGTCTACGATGTCACGCGGCGAGACAGCTTCGAGCACTTACCGGAATGGCTCAAGGAGATCCGGGAGCACATGGATACTGGACTTGCCATTACCCTGGTAGGCAACAAGGCCGACATGGACAAGGAACGTCAGGTGAGCTTTGAGGAAGGCAGCAGATTTGCAACTGACCACGGCCTCGGCTTCCTGGAGACGTCCGCAGTCACAGGCCAGTGACTAAACCCCTCAACCCTATACCCATAAACCCCAAACCCTAGACCCCTAAAGCACTAAACTAAACCCCTAAACCCTATACCCCTGAACCCTAAACTCTAAACCCTATACCCCTGAGCCCCAAACCCTTACAGGCCAGCACGTGGACGATGCCTTTCTTGCGACGGCTCGGCAGGCCTTGGCAAGAAGACCAACTCGAGCACCCGAAAGGCGGCTAGACATCGGACACGATTGAAGGCCGCCCTAAGTATGAGGGTTTAGAGGGTTTAGGGTTTA